GAGAGAGAGAGAGAGAGAGAGAGAGAGAGAGAGAGAGAGAGCGAATAGTCGGAGAGGAACGAACAGGTGGATTGAGCTTTGGGCCCTGGTCCTGGCCCTGGTGGTGGCCGACCATTCACCAGACAGCAACAACAAAATAACCCAGCTAAGTACGGAAACACTGGTCCCCCCTCCCATCCTATCGACCTTCCGCCCTATGCGATCTGGCGCGTCCGAAATGGAGAGTAAGTGAGTGGAGGAGGGCAAGAAGCAAGAAAAAGAAAATCGATTCCTATCTCGAAAAAACAAGCAACCTAGGCCGAACCTGGTAGTACTCCGTGTATTCCCAGTGCATCTTTTCATTTGAGTTTCGAAGGTCTGCGAATCAACCAGAGAGAGCCGACTCGCTAGCAGCTATTTGCTACTGCCAATAGTGCCAGTGCGAAGTCGTCGCGCAAGCACCGTAGTGACCATTTCCGGCGGCCTCATCGGGGATGAAGTTCAGACTTGTCCATCTGTTGTGGACATGAAATGAGCCGTTCACTCTCATCCCGAGCACAAGGCTTTCCCTCGAGTCTCATTTCATCTCATATTATCTCGCTAGCAAGGCATGGATGGAATGAGGTGCTGCTCTTCGCTCGCTTGCTCTCGGAGGCTGCTGGCTGGCCTTCGAGCCAGCCGGTATCGTTTCCGCTGGTCGTCTTTCCTCCGTCAGCAGTGAAAGAAAAAGAGCCTTCGTGAAAAGATCGGGTAGCATTATTGCCTGGGCATGCAATTGGATAAGAGATAGCGGTCATGGTCCGAGCGACCCTGTCGTCGGAAGCTTTTCCCAGTGGCTTGTCGGCTCGCTTCAAGCAGTTTGTTGTGATTGCGATTTTCGTCAACGGAAAGCTTCTCATTTTCATGTATATCACAATTGTTCTTGTCGCGGTTAATCTTTACCTGTTTGTTCTTTCATATTTGCCAAGATCGATGATGAAATAGAAAAGGTATATCGAGCCTTCGTTTTCTCGCTAACCCTGGGATTCGAAAGTAGCCTTTTGCTTACTGTTGGTCGTAACGAGAGTACCCTTGACCTTGATGACAATGACCACAACGACAATTGTTCAACGTGGGATATAGCCTGAAGGTACAGCAGAGACGCGTGCGCCTCTTGATTGCGCCGTTAGCCACGTGGAAAGGCTTCATTCTAGTTTTAGTACTGTTAATTTTTCGTGCCCTCGAATTCCACTATCAACGGCCAGCCCTCTTTGCCTTAGGCTCTTTTGCTCTTTTTGGAGCATTCTCATCTGTCCATTTAGTCACAGGTTCAGACTAACGATCTCCGTAAAACGCCAGGCTTCACAAGAATCACTGAATTCTCATGTCTTCATCGCGTTGAATGACGATTCGGAGTCTGTTAAATGAAGCTGCGTTGGAGTCGTGACCATTTCCCTCCTTTCCCGGCCGGCGGCTCGAGGCCACCGTTGAAAGGTCGGAGCCGAGCATAAATCCGCCGAATTAGTCCCACGCCTCGGAATTTCCTCGAACGATTGGCTGAGAAATTTCAATAATTTCGGAAGTTTTTATGGCCGCCCTGCCCGTTCATAGGCTGTTCAAGCCGAGTTGGCCGTCTCCTGCTGCTTTATGAGGCCGCAAGCGCTGAACGCCAACGTCTGTGCATATTCATTGCTGGCTGTATCATGATCTGCACTGAAGGGATTATTATTCGGCTATGCAGACTTGATCCTATAAAGGCTTGTTCTCCGATGACAGGACGTCGTGCTGCATGAAGGTGGCTCTGGCGTTCGGTACGGACCTAGTTTCTGGTCAGCGAGAGAGACTCGATACTCAATATCCGATATTGAAATGGAGTCAAATCCAGTCTCAATACGGCAAGAAAAAGCAGGTATGTAGCAAATTATTGCCATATTTTGTATGAGTTTTTCTATTTGCCTTCTTCATCAGCCATTTGGCAAGACGAGCAGTATCTTCTTCGGGGTATGAACGAGGCTAGCTGAGATAGCGGACAGGGGAAATATCTCCTGAGCCGCTATCGTCGCGATCAGCCTGAGGCTTGACCGAGGATGATGCCGTCGACCTTTGGCGAAATATCCAAACTATTTACATATGCTCTCATCTATGTCTTACAAAGTGTTGAATCCTTTCCGCAACTGGACAGAGTAGACTGATTCCGTGCCGTTCTTGGCGTGATGATGATGCTTAGGCCTTGGTTGAGTATTGATACTCTATGGCCTGATAATCATTTATCGCTTGATGATGGTAACTGCGTAGCGGTAAGTGAGACGCACAGCTGAGGTGTGGCCTCTTGGACTTACTGATATCTTCATCGGCCAACTCATGGCTCAGACCGACTCTTTGCGGTTGATGTTTCACGGATTTGCCAAATACGACGGCCACTCGGAAATGCTCGACAATTGTCTTATGAATAGCATTGCACTGGAAAATTCAGCTGCTACTCTTTCACAGGCCACCGCCAAATCCTGCGGCAATACTTACGAAATCTTCGACTGTACACTTGGTGGAACGCAACACTACCGGCTGTGTGTAATCGGGCAATTTTCCTTTGGGCTTGGTATATACTCTCACCAGATTTAGCTTTTCCCACCTGCGCAGATGTCAGTACTCAAGGTTCGGGGTTGCGGGGAATTCAGTGGCGAGAGAAGACTGCGGCTGATCATGCCGTAGCCTGCCTGAAAGCCGGATTTGAATTGGGTACACTGACATTTGTTCCAGCAATTCATCGATATTCCACCCATGCTCGGACGAGATCGGACAAGCATTCGGGATTCTGTAGAGCAAGTCCAATTCCTCGATTGAAATGGCGTCAATTTTGTTCAGAGCATAAATAACCGGAATATAACTTCTGCTCTTTGCTTCCAGGACATCGATTAGATCATCGATCGTGGCATCACAACGGATAGCGATATCTGCGGACGAAATCTTGTACTCGCCCATGACAGCCCTGATCTCGTCGGCATCAATATGCGACAGTGGAACGGTATTAGTAATGCTAATTCCTCCCTTGTCCTTCTTCTTGAACACGATATTTGGCGGTTGCTTGTTGATCCGGATCCCGAATCCCTCCAGCTCAGCTTCAATGATTTTCTTGTCGGTAAGAGGCTTGTTGACGTCCAGAACGATAAAAATCAAATGGCACGTCTTCGCGACAGCGATAACCTGTCGACCTCTTCCCTTTCCATCCTTGGCTCCCTGGATAATACCAGGCAGATCCAGCATCTGGATCTTAGCCCCGTTATATTGCACCTGGCCCGGCACCGTCGTCAAGGTCGTAAACTCGTATGCCGCAGCCTCGGAATGCTGCCCGGTAAGCCTACTCATGAGCGTACTCTTCCCCACCGAGGGAAATCCTATGAAGCCCACACTGGCAACACCAGTTCTCGCGACATCGAATCCAGCTCCTCCTCCACCACCACTCGTTGTCGGCGTCAGGAGTTCCCTCTTCAGTTTGGCAAGCTTGGCTTTGAGTTGACCTAAATGGAACGAGGTTGCTTTATTCTTCTGGGTTTTGGCCATCTGCGGATCGTCAGTATGTGCTGCTGCTGAGCTAAGGGTGTTGGCAGATAGCCTCGAGCGATGATTTTGCAGTTGGGCATCTCATGAGACTGCGCATTTGGTACTGGAGAGGGCTACATACTTCGGCCTCAATGTCCTTGATCTGTAGCGGGGTGTTAGCAAAGGCACAATCTCTTTAAATCTGGAGATTTCTATACTTTATCCACGGTGGTCGCCATGGTTGCGGGTGCCTTCAAAAATATCTGCTGTTGTGATTGGGAATTTGGAATTCAAAGCCTCGAGTATGGTTGCTGTCGAAGCTGTCCCCTTTTGCAGTGAAATCGCGGAATGTGGGGGGAGCGACCAAAATGTACTTCAAGTGTGCACGCGCCACGGATGATTTTCGGAACGATGTTCAGCTCACGTTTCTCGTCAATGTATTCAAAATATTCAACTTCCTGCCACCTGTATCCCAATTTTGAAGAATGCGTATTTCAATCATGGATCCTTCCCTCTTGTGCAAAGCTTTCTTCGTCCTCGGCTCTGCCGTCAATATAGGAGGGACCCTGATACCTTCCTTCAGAGAGCAGATCATGAACTACGGGTCTCGAGGCACGCCTTCAACCACATCGCCACAAAAACAGGAGAAGCAACCATTGAACTTTTTCGAATACATTTCTTCAATCCAAGTGCCGCATACATGGTTTACTCATTACTACATGGTATCAGTGTTATCATCAATATTCTGGGGTTATCAGATCTACAATCATGGGCCGGCAATCGAGGTTCTGGCTGCGTATACTACTCGGAAGGATGGCACGATGACTGTCAATCAGGTCTTCCTAGCATGGACTTTGATGGCTATTCAAGGATCGAGGAGATTGTATGAGTCTATCACTCTAACGAAGCCTTCTCAGTCAAAGATGTGGGTTGGGCTGTGGTTGATAGGAATGGCATATTACGCAATAATGGGAATTTCTGTCTGGATTGAAGGTTCTGGTAAGTCTGTAGCAAGGCTTTCGGAGAAGCCACTGACGCTGACCCTCCTAGCTGTCCTTGATCATGATGGACGTTGGGGATCATTGCTTCAATTTGGAAATCCTTCGGCCAAAACGCTAACAGCTGTTCCGCTGTTCCTGCTCGCTTCCCTCGCCCAACATGATTGCCATGTGTACCTTGCCAGTCTCAAGAAGTATACCCTTCCGCAACGCTATGTGTTTCGAAAGGTTGTGTGCCCTCATTATGCCTGCGAGTGTCTGATCTACATCGCAATTGCCATAGTGGCTGCGCCACCAGGTCAAATGTTGAATAGCACTGTGCTGGCTGGTCTTGGATTTGTTGCTTCGAATCTTGGGGTAACGGCAGACTCGACCAAAAAATGGTATATGAAGAAGTTCGGGGCCGTCAACGTGGTCGATCGTTGGCGTATGATTCCATACGTCTATTGAGTGCCTCGAGTGCTTTATTAGCGCTTGACGAAAAGTCCAAGTTGGCCGCCAAGTTTGGAGACTCTGAGTACGTCTCGATAAGTGAGACTGGTTCTAGTTTGTCGCACATTACAACCATCTTTGAAGGCCTCCGGGTCTCGAAGGAGATCCCAGTTTGCAACCGTGTTCGGCCCAATATTCAAATCTTCATCGACATTTGCAATACCGTGTAGAAAATCGGTGTATAGCTCTCCAGTGGTAATCAACAGGCTCCTTGGCTCTTGCAGTATCTTCCATCTTGGTTCAAGCTCTGTGGCGCCGTCTTCGTTGCTACCGTAGATGTCTAGGCAAAGGGAAGCCCCTAGGCTAACTGTACAGACCACTGGGTGATATGCAGATCCATCCTTGTGCGGCATTATTCCTTGCCCTCGTAAATATTCATTTATAAGGACATGATTAGGTCTCTTGTGAGGGCTGTTGGAGAAAATATGATTTTGATTTTCGCTCGAGATGGGACAGGAAAGAAGGCGGGCAGTAATGGGGTTTGCCAGCCAGTTTGGCAAAGGGCTGTCGAGCAGTGCGTTATTCTTGGTGAGATCAGATGGCCATGTTTGTAACCGCCGCTTCGAAAGATGCTTCCATCGAGGCTTGGGAGCTGTTTCGATCTTGAAGAATGAGCATTGGACACGAGAGTGGGAGTGATGGGCAAACCTTGGTCAACAGTGCCTGTTCCTCCTCCCCGCTGATGAAGTCTGAGATGTAAAAAGCAGTCGCAGGTAAGCTTTTAATTCTAACATCCTCCAGACAGGCTGGCATCGTTAGTGGCAGGACTTTAGTCTCCATTGTGTAGCAAAATAGGAAATTTGCGGCGCAGATAGTGAGGAATGTGCAATAAGAGTGGTGCTATGCCTCCCTTTCAGAAGGTCATGATCTTTCCCAGATCTTTCTATCAACTTTGCAGATTCAACCGCACCCCTTTGATATCGCTACCAGATTCCAAAAGAGCTTATAACACAGGAATATAAGCAGGACAATAGTTGCCTGCAGCAGCAGCTCACTTGCAGGCGTCTTTAAGAGCTGTTCCTCGTGCGCCCTTGTCCCCTTATGAAGCTCTATGGAAAGAGTCGAGGTTTTTGGTGACTGACGAACAACATAAACCTATTGTTGTTTCTGTGAGAGGCCACTGAGTGCTGAAGAGGAGGTTGGTGTTGACTCTGATGTTCATGCGAAATGGAGAAGCCCCTATTCACCCCGGGTGAGGACAAGAAGTCCCACCCCGGCTCGTCTAGCGAATCGAGTGCGGGAACACGGAGAGCCTAAACCCCCAATGGAACACTCCTTTCATCCATCGCCACGACCATCAACCCCCCGACCCACGACTGGCAACCCCGTATACCCCCTCGAATCATCGCGCATGTATCGTAGTCATTGATACTCGACCTCGACCCCGACGCTGTGCGCCAGCTTTCCTCTTGCCCACCGCCGCCGCCCCCATAAACGCCCACCACTGCGATAGGACTCGGATGATCCTCCTTGTCCTTCCTGTCTGACACTGCCAAAGTGTCTCCCCCCAGACCGGCCCACGATGAGTTGCAGGACAGAGAGACTCACGGGATAGATGCCATGGATGCGCAGGTCATTGTGGACGCTGTTACCGCGAAACTGAGCGCCGAACCCGATGGATTGGCGGCAGAGCCGGAAGGCATTCGCAGCGCAGCAACAGGAACTCCGAATGGCATCAGATCATCGCCACCCATGTTGGCACAAGATGTACTCATGGCTGTAGACCGACCAAAGCCCACCGCCGGGGATGCGGGGGAGAAAAGCGACTCAGAAGCCGAGACCATAGTATTGCCTGGAAAAGATGGTCATTCCCCGTCCAAGATCCGAAAACCGATCAAAAATGAAGATAGAAGTGAGGACGAGGAAATGCGACATGCATTCACAGACTCGAAATCGCGCGGAGATTCGTCTCGAAGCGATCTGAAAGTCGGAAATCCAAGTGTGAGCACCGCGACCACCGCGACTTCCCTGGGAAAACGAAAACGACCCAAATGTGGTATTGGCGCCAACGACTCTGCACATCTGGGAAACTCAAGTGGCCTTAGTTCTGTGCCAACATCGCCGGTAGCCACAACACGTTCGTCCCTGTCGAAACCCGCAGCCTCTGACTCTGAAGTATCAAGGTCGCCATCGCCTCGCTCTCGTTCGCGCTCAACTGTACGCGACAAGGCCAAGTCTGTCGACAGAGCTCTCTCCCGCAGGAGAGAGTACACCACTGGCTCTGGAGACGAAGACGAGACGGAATTGCGCAGCTATGGGCAACAAGCAAGCTCAGTCACCGATCACAGACCAAACAGACCAAAAGGCGGCAACGACACCAATCCACGTAAACGAACGAGATCAAAATCGCCACACGGTCACAGCCATAAACGCAGCCTCTCGACACAACTGCCTCCAAAATCATCTCATGGATTGAGCAACAAGAAGAAACGAATTCCTGCGCCCCTTCAGTCCACCGAGTACCACTCAGACGAGTCTTCGGCGAGTGGGAACTCGCATCCCCGAAGTTCGCGCCTGCGCAATCTAACTGCGCCAATCACGGGGGACTCTGCAATTTCACCTGCCAAAATGCCGCCGCATAAGAAACATGTCAACTCCTCCGGACAAACATTGTTGGCGATTGCTTGTGGCCGCAACAAGTTAGAAGTAGTCAAGCAGCGATATGGAGAACGGCCAGAGGATCTAAATCTTGCGGACAACGCCGAAAATACACCACTTCATACGGCGAGTTTGATGGGTTACGAGGATGTTGTAAAGTTTCTTCTGAGCACTGGACGTTGTGAGCTGGACTGCGTCAATTCTGATAGAGACACTCCGTTACACGATGCTGTCGACAACGGTCACTGGGAAGTCGTTAAGCTACTTTTGGATGCCGGAGCGAATCCCGCCAAACCTAATCTTGCTGGAAATAAACCGCGCGACCTGATTGATGACGACCATAAGACCGAGGAGGGCGAAGATTCAGACGCGAGGGAGGAGCGCTTGGAAACTAACAGGCAGTTGAAGGAGATGAGGGTCGCCATTGATGCTGCAAACGCAAAGTTTGTAGGCAATCGCCGTGGCTCGGAGGACCATCAAATGCACGGCAATGGAGATGGGCGTATGTCACTTCCCAGGGAAAGCCCTCGACAAACACCGCCAGCAAATGAACTGCAAAACTTCGGACTCCCCAACCGCAAAGGCACAGCACGTTCCAGGATGAAGACTAAAGAAAGCAATCTTTGGACAGGGTATGGCGTACCAGAGCTACAATCAGCTGCAAGCGAAGGTGATCTTGAAACAATCAGTCGCGTTTTGGGCGTCAACGACAACATTGATGATGCCAGAACACTTTACAACGCTGCCAGAGGAGGTCACGACGGCGCTATCAACTTACTCTTTGCCCTGGGTAGCTTTAGCTCAGATCCTCCAGAACTAGACGGTGTACCACCAGATCAGTGTACTCCAATTCTCGCGGCCATTGGTAAGGACAGTCACCTCGAGGTTATCAAATTGTTCCTGGGAAGACCCGACTTTGATCCCACACGCCTTATCAATGGAGAGACCTATCACGAGATCGCCAGGCGACGTAATGGGCCTTATTGGCAGGAAGAAGAACAACTGCTGAAAGAGGCGTTCATTGCTTACAAAAAAAGTCACAAGGCGTCTCCTGGGAAGAGTCGTTCTCCTGGAACGCGCCGAGATGGAAGAGAACCAGAGCGAGATGCGAGAAGAGTGCCGCGATCTGAAGACCAGCAAACACCGAGAACTCATAAGAGAAGCACGTCCAACCCGAAGACGAGAGAGAACGAACCGTTGAAGACCCAGAATCGCAGCACATCAATTGGACAGCCTAAGGACGGACAGAACGCTGCTAAGAGGGGACCAGGCCGACCCAGAAAGGAAGGTCAGTCAACATCGGGTGCCATTTCGGATCGCGAAACCAGTCCCCTCGCTCCCCCGAGACAAAAGTCGTCGCAGTCCCGAAAGTCCGAATCCGATGCTGCTGCCACATCAGAAACCGAGCCGACTGCGAAGCCCCGCCGAAAATTAGTTTCCGGGAAAGAATTTAGAGGGGAAAGAGAGCTTGAAAAGCAGCGGCGCGCTAGTTTTGTTTCCAATGCTTCTGCCGCATCGGTCAAAGACAAACGTGAGCGCGGGCCTTCCGACACTAAGCTGGAGAAATTGGATGGGAGGGCTAGCCCTAGTCTTGCACGAATGGGCAAGAACTCTGGGTCTGCTCATCATGATCGCGATCAAGCGGCATCTGACAAGGAACGAGCTCGACCTCACAAAAGAGACGACTCGAAGGATAGACTAAGTGCTATTCGCGGTGAAAGTCCTGTCAAACGAGCTCGAAAGAGCGAGACTCCACCTCGTTCCGGGATGCAGGAAGTGAGCCCAGCCTACCATCTAGACGGGCCCCAGCAGAAGAAGCAAAAACTAGCAGGAGACGCTACCAGTGGGCACCAAACAGATAGCTCCTCGCCAGAGTATCGCCCTGCCGTTGCGAAGTCAATTCTCCCTCGCGAAAACACATCAGTGAAATCTAATTCTGATGCCAAATCCAAACCTCCTCGACGTTCTCAAAAATACAGTGGAGCCTCCGAATATTCAAGGGAATTACATCTTGATACCACTTCCAGTTATCCGATCAAACCAGGTCTTTCGGCACCTACTTCCGCTCCCGAATCTAATTCCAGGAAGTTGAAAGAATCTACTGAACAAAGACCTTCGAAAGATTCTAGAAACGAGCGTACCCCTATCACCAAGACCAAGGTAGAGGAGGAGGAATCATTTCGTCAAGCCCAGATCCAGCGTGGTAAGAGGGAGGCCGAAGCGGAAGCCATCCGGCAGAAAACAATTGCGGAGGAAAGAGAGAGGGTCGAGCGGGAGAGAGTCGAGCGAGAGAGGGTCGAGCGGGAGAGAGTCGAGCGAGAGAGAGTCGAGCGGGAGAGAGTCGAGCGGGAGAGAGTCGAGCGAGAGAGGGTCGAGCAAGAGAAGATCGAGCGAGACAGAGAAGCGCGTCTGGCTAAGGAAAGAGCAGACCGGGAGGCGGAGGAAACTCGGCAGAACGAGGAAAAGAGGCAGCGGGAAGAAGAGCGAAGGCAAAGGGAAGAGGCTGATCGAAAAGAGCGACAGCGCTTAGAGGAAGAGGAAAGAGAAACTCGCGCAATGGAGCAAAGGCAACAACTGTACCTTGAACAGGAGAGGAGGAAGAAGGAGGAGGCCGATCGAAGACATGCAGCACAAGCCGAACAAAAACGGCTTGATCAAGAGAGGGCCGAGAAAGAGAGGCGTGAAGCGCGGCTCGCAAGGTTGCCAATGCTGCTCAGATGGTTCGATCAGACGTTTGATTCACCAGGCGGGCATCAGTTTGCGGAAATCGTGCCTTATTTCAAGAGAATCGTCGGTTACAGATACGATACAATCAGGCCGGAATTCACAGGTCAAACTGTTGGCCGTGAGCAGTGGATGCTCAACACGCACGCTGCCATCCTCCTGGGAGAGCAGGATCTGAAGTTAAGCCGATGTAAGCTTCCTCCCTGTAATTCAGAAAATGCAATCGCTAACGCAAGATTCACTAGTTTCCGCATGGGATCGAGTTTCTCTGTCCATCAATCAGAAAACAGCCATCTGGAGTACACACAATTCACAATTTCTACTCTATGATGGTCTGTTACCTCTCCGCAAAGCTCTACCTCGCCCCGAAGGGAGCCAGAACGAGATCATTCAGAAGAATAAGTCACTGTTCTTGGACCTCGATTTGTTCATGGTCAAGGTATGTTTATCAGGTCAGAATACCCGAAAACACTCAACGTCTAACGCCCACAGGTCTCTGAGTTCATGTTCATTGTCCCAACAATCCCTCATCTGCGTGACGTTGAACTGAAGGTCGAATATCGAGAGCTCCAAGAGCCCCAAACCCCTGATATGGTTGGACAACCGCAAAACTTACAGAAGTGGAGGTCTGACCCTGACACTGTCGCCGGCCAAGAAACCATACCAGCCCCAAAGTTCTATCGCAACGGCGACCTGGTCAGACAAGGCAGAGATGTGACGAGAATATTGAAGCATCCACCCCCACTGGACACCTTTCCAAGACGGGAAGGAATCTCTCGAGTCCACGAATCAGATCCAGATTACGAGGAGCAATGTAGGAAACAGCGTCTACCGGGCTACCGCTCATCATCCACTTCTTCCGCAAACCACCCCCGTTCTGCTGAACCGCACCCCAACGGCATGACGCCTCCGAGATCAGATCAATCGAAGTCGCTAAATGGTGGTAGCCCCACCCGCAGTTCCGAGTCCGATGCCCATATGATCAATGGTCTTCCAAACGGTATCAGTAACGGAGGCAGCCCTCCGCCGCCGTCTAGCATTACGGAGTAGGTTTGCAGTCTGGAGCTGCTTCTAGAAAAGCCAATATCTTGTATGGAAATATGAACCTGGCACGAATGTCCCTTATTTTCATTGGCGATTCTGTGCATGTGGGCGTGTGTCGGTACATGAATGAGATTTGTTGAGCGTTACGAGACATGATGATGGATCTGGTTACAGTTGCATTGCTGGATGGACAGGCAGGCAGGCAGGCAGGCAGGCGTACGTGCACAGCTTTCGCGGGCTAGGAGGGAGGGAGGGGGCGTTTTTTTATGTAATTTTCTATAAAGAATAGCTTTGCTGGTATGTGAAAGAAGAGTGTTATGTCATCTACACGCTGTCTTTTTGTACCGTATCGTATCCTCATTCCCCCACCCTCAATCTTTTCCCAATCAGGGGAGCGGAAAGGGGGAGAGAAGATGTAAAAATGCGGCTTTGTTTCAAAAATATTCACGATTGTATATCTATCTGTGTCTGCTGGTGGATGGGTCAAGAGTCAAGAGAAAAGAGGAAGATGTGTAAGCTGTAAGTCGGGAAAAAAAAAACATTTTTTTTAAGGAGTATTAGGCTTTTTCAGTTTTGGCCTTCGAGTTTTCAAGATTTGACTCTTGAGATTAGGGTTGCCCGCAAAAAATTGCTCGTGACGCTTTCGTTCGCTATGTACGTAGTAGGTACCTATACCGGTACCGGTACTCGACTAGGCGCGGGGCGGAGATGGATATCCGAATCCGAAAGAGAGTTGGTTGGTTCGTTCTCTTGATTTGATTTGATTTGTTTTGATTTGACTGACTGACTGACTGACTGGCTGACTGGCTCTGACTGATTGATTGACAAGTAGGTATCGTAGGAAAACGAAGGGGAAAAAGAGATGTACGCCTTGGAAACAAGTCGTGGATTTTTCTTCGAATTTTTCGAACTGTAAATTCCTTTCGATGGCACTCTCGGAGGTTGAGAAGTAGGTAGGTAGGTACGTAGTAGTTCTGGAGGAGGCAGGTATTCGTCCTCTCTTTTTCTTTTTTTTTTCTCTTTCTTTTTCTGTTTCCTCCACCTTCTCTTCCTTTTGGTAGGTCAATAGGTATCGACCGACCCAAGGCAGTACCGGTAGTTACTACTGTACGTGGTTGGGGGTGATGTGGCCAGTTCGGGTACCTACCGTAGCATCTCAGGCACAGACAGATAAGCATACCTCGCTTAGCCTGGCACCACTCTTCAGGGAAACCCCCACCTTCGATGAAAACCCTATTATATACCTTAGCTAGCTAGTGCACGTGACCCCTCCTACTCGTGTAAAACGAACTACCGGTAGCTCCCCTGGAACGTGAGGGAGGACGCAGAAACCACAGGACCATGCTTACTGACCCATTGGTTTGCAATGGCAAGGAGCTGCGCGCGCTGCACGCTGGGATGCCGAAGTTGCGAACGTTCGCTACCGGCGATGCAACACTTCCTCCGCCTCCTCTTTTTTTCTTTCTGGGCCTTTCGCGCTGGGTTTGGCTTTTCTTCGCTTCTGCCTTCCCTTCCTGCAGGGGAGGG